CAGTGACGCGACCAGGTACAATTCGTCACGTCAGTGATAGGTCTTAATACATTGCGGGTTTCAACAACAAGGGAGGATATTGTGTTGAAGGTTTAACGTCCTAGAGGAGTGTCATTTAGAACATTGTCAATAAATGCCATTTATACAGAGGCTATTGGGATATCCAATAAATAAAAAACTTATTTTGGTCTTGATTGCCTCGTTTTTTGCAAGCCCTACTGTTAGTGTTCAATGCCTGTCGTTTTCACTAATCGTGCTTGTGTTTTCCACTCCGAAATGACAAAACAACTTATTCTGAGTACATTGTGCATAACTTCAGAAGTTCACTTAGTTTACTCAACCATGAAGGCACTAAAAAGGGGATATTGTTGTTTAAAGTGAGGTATATTGAACGGTTAAATGGTGCGACGGTCGATTTCTGACTTTTTCAGTGATCTGTATTGTGCCATTGGGAAAAGAAAGACGGAAAAACGGACAGGTCAAAGTAGACTACAAGATTTACATGATGCAAAACAGGTTTGCAAAATATTTATTCAGCCAGGGAGATTTTCATGAGATTTTACATGATATGAGCAAGCCTGTTAATGCCCACTTCAATGTGTTTCTACCTCCCAAGAACTCTGCTATTGCAGTGAGGCCTTTCTGCAGAGATTATCTCATCGTACACTATTCCTCAAATAACGTTATCTTAGAAACACCAAGGTCAAGAAGGCCGAACCGCTCCCTACCAGAACAGCATCTGGTCAGGTGCAATATTACATTAGTTTGAATTCTGTTTGTAGACTGTCGCCCTCATACTGACCCTTGTGTCATTCAGTGTGCTCCCTTTCATATATCATGAAGAAGCCTCGTTAACTTTTCATAAGTTCATGAAACATACGTTCGTTTCTTATGATATCCTTGACGAATGAAACATATCAGGACAATGGCTTACTATTCTGGTTGGGTACATAATGTCCATCTATGGTATGCGTTGAAATATAACACTTAATCAAACTAGATTAACGGGATATTTCAGTGTACAAGAAATTCGTTTTCAAGGTATTTATCTATTCAACTCCGGCTGTTTTCTGAGGCCTTTCACGCGATACAATACCGTAACTAATTGTATAGCCAGTAAGTGTCCATTTTTCCGTCTCGTATTAGGTGTTTTATGCAACCAGAGTCTCCCTAGTACAACTTTGTGTCCTAATGACGATTCATTGAATGCAAGACGAAACGTAGTCACGAGCTGTTATCTACGTATCGTGACAGGGAATGCGTGATCAGGATAGGCTTTCGCTGTGTTTAAACAGTGGTCAGCATAATGGATGACATACACTGCACGTGCTGCCCCAACCTCGGATGTTAGGAACCTCTTTTCATGAGACAAGATAGCGTGCATTGGAATGGTCAGAACATAGACTTTGAATACAGCGATTTCGTCTCACAGAACGAGCAGATGGATCAACCAGCGAATTCAATTATTTCTGCTCAACCGTGCTTTTGGTGCTCTGCTGAGTGAGCCGACTTCCTGGTTATGAGCAAAGAGACCAGAGTTCCCACCGAATCTAGCTAGTTTCCATGGTTTGTACAAGAACAGAAATGCGAAGTTCCGTGGTACTGGTGATAATGCTTAAGACTTGTACGGATTTGAAAGCCGGGTGCTGAATGAATGCAGCCTACAGTGATGCTTGCATCAAAATGTAGTAAGGGTATTGTTCGGATCAGCTTTCACGTGCCGTCTTTTGTGATAGCTTTTTTTAGTATCTCGACATTTAGCGGGACAAGTGATTTGAGAATCAGAAAACTGAAACACTGGTGGCAAATAGTGTTTATGGGTTTTTGTTACATTCTGACATTTTGTTTGACAGCTAGGAGATGTGTCGAGTGATGTATGCCGTCTTCCACATGTTGAAAGTATGCAGACGACGACTGGGTTTGCTTTTGTGACAGAAAAAACGGAAAAAATCCTGGGTTATGCCCAGACTAAATCTTCCTCCGTGGACAGAATTATTCACATCCATGACGGTCTCGTTTGACCAACCCTCCTGTTCTGGGACAACTATTCCCTGATTGCTAAGAAGAAATTCAAAGATGCTTACTGGGTCCTGCTGTGTTTATAGATTTTCGCGCACCGACGGTTCCTCCGTACATCTTAATTTAACCGAACACCCATTGTCGGATTGAACGTCTCCACCAGTCACACTGCCCTACGTTGTTTGTTGGAGAACTACACTGCGCTGAGTATAATTCTACTGACATACGAACATATTCAAATATGTCTGGTTTTCACACTTACTAGAACTGTGCTGTGTTCTCAAGTGTTCTCCAAACGATTTGGCCGAGTGTGTTTACACTTCACTTAAAATCTTGCGTAAACCAACCATGTTTTCATATTAGTCCATTAAATCACAACCTGATAATGGTTAGCTTTTGTGATTTTGTATCTACTCTAATGCAGAGATAATCGCCACATAATATTATCGATCCACACCAGTCGTTCAAACTAGGGGTGACCTGGATCACCCTATTGTCGCACGTATACTGATCGATTTTACCGTTTACTATACTACCTTATAATACTACCTTATAATGCCTGAGGTTGATGGGCTTACTTGGAGCACCTCTGTCAACCAAACTTTGTCTTCTAAAGGTCCAGATTCTCAAAAATACTTCATGACAAAACCCAGCGTGATACCTCTGTGCAAGAAGCACAGGTATCTGGTTGCAGTTGCCAAGAACACTGGTATAGTTGGCTACCGTGTATCGCTTCAGTGGCCCTAGTACGGATAAAATGTTCATCGCAAACGTTAGGATCACATGCCACAGTTCTTTTTGCTTGAAAGTTTTTCTTAACTGGTCAGTTAAACTGAAACTGGCCCAGTGATGGATTAGCATTCTAACTAGTACATGTGGTTCTCAAAGGATCTAAAGAAAATTGATACAATTTATTATTGTTGGGTGCGTTCTTTTATTTGTCCCAGTCTATAAGTCCATTAAAATGAGATGCTTCGGTTTTTGTTCAGCTTGCATTGCTTACTTAGTCCCCGTACTCGCTTGTCATAGTTATTGATTAAGTAGGTTTCAAACGCTCGTTGAGGAAAGACTGACAAACGTCATTAGGAACGCACCCGAGGTCCATACTGTACGTCATCGTTAGTAACCTAAACTAATCTCTTGAGGACAAGAGAAGCAGACTTTGTTGATAGTATTGTAGGAACACCTATGAAAGTTTCCAACGTCAACTAGAATTACTTCAAATGAACACTGTGGTTATCTTTTCAGTATAACGTGGGCACTCGACCAAGAAAAATGTAGGCTAAAAGGGCTTGCCAGACCTTTTCAAACATTTGATAGCCAAACTGATGAATTCCTGCATGACTCCCTGCGAGTTTTGAAAAAAGCAGCCTGCTTTGATTCTGTGTGCTTCCACTTTTAAGAACGAATGATAAACACAACAATGAGTAGACTGGTTGTCTCCTTGTTTGTTGTCACTCGCTACTCTTATCTACTTTCAGAGGCCGTTTTGTTTGAGTAAGTACACGGGCTTTCGATCTTCAAAGTCTTTTGTGCAAGAACACACATTGTTCAGATAGCGTTTAACCAATGGGTTGTCGTTTCCCAGAAAATCTAAGGCTGTGATATGTATTAATGCATAGCGGAGTGAGTAAGTATGGTTTCGAAAATGCCTTTAGGAGCACTCGAAGCGTTTTAAGGGCTTCTACTACAGAAGTCAAAGGGAACTAACTGATGTTGAATGACACCACCGTAGTCCTAATGGTGTAGTAAGATAATTTATGTCTGGCTGTGCAGTAGGCACCTCATTTGCACAAACGTTCAGCAACACAACCTACAATAGCGTGAACGCAGCGTAGTTTTAGTTTGAACTCTCCGTGGCTATCTATTCGTTTCGCTGATATTACTGTTGACGGTGGTACTTCCGTCTATAGTGATGATAATGAAGCTGGAGATAGTTGTATTGTTGATGGTGAGAGTATCGGTGACGAGCATGTGACGGGGCCGTGCGTGACTTGCAGAAATGAAAACCCAGGCATCAAATTAGAACATTTTTCTTTCATACGAGACACTTATGGCAGTTGCTGTCAACACCCGGATGAGCATACATAGTAAATATCATAATGATATGCGGTATTCAGGGGTTAGCGTTTAAAAATTTCTTCCTCAGTATAGTCCCAATTGTGCTGTTGAGAAACCTTCATGTTTTCTGATGCTCATACCTTGGCTGAATCAGCATGCTTGTATTGATTAAGAATCCTGGTCATCTGAGACACAAAACCGCTGGACTTCGAATGACGCTGTACATTCCCGTTTAGGCAGTTACTTTTTAGGGGGAAGGGCGTAGTCTAACAAAATGTACTGTAAACGAAGGCATTTATTAAGGCTTACTGATGCTTGTTAGATATGTTGTTGGTGAACTAATCATTCCCCGTTGAAAGGTTACTCATGAGAACCTGCTGGGTGACAGATCATTTGCAACGAGATTTTTGCTACTATGTCATCTATGGTCTGGTCTGGCAATCACTAGGTCATAAGACTGTCGGGACAAAGGCGAGAGCTTTGGTGTGGCTGAGCCGTATGAGCTATACCACAACTATCCGATCAAGTCCAAAGATAAGGCTAGGTAGTTTCCATGATCGAGACCACTCAGGTAAAACAATATAAATGATCATCGCCGGCCTGAGGTTTGTCCGAATGGGTCAGCAGCTGGTCAAAAAGTTTGGTTAACAAATTTTGACTGATTACTGTTTCCTCAACGGTCATGTCATTCCACTTCAGTTTCAGGCGATCAGGTGAAAACGAATATATGACCAGCTTTGTATGCAAATTCATCTAAGCTGTGTTAAACGTTTAGGAGCCTGAGGTTTATCACAGGTGTTGAGAAAATAACGAGAGGAAAACCAATCCTTTAGTAGCTCCTTCGATTTCCAAGAGGCTGACCAGATCATCCGCATCAGATCTCAAACCAACCCTGGTTATTGAGCAGAAAGAAACAAGAGTGACCCTACATCTTTCGTAGCTTTTGGGAAGCATCGCATATGCGGCAACATTAACAATCCAATGGATCTCACTAAATGCTTGACTGGCACCATTCAAAATGTCGAAGGATCGATAAAACACGGATAAAAAGGGTAAGAAGGAGTGGGAGCAGGTGGTTAGGTAGTTAGAAGCAATAAAACACGAAATTAACTCTTTTCTACATAAAACCAACAAATGCATAACTGTGATGGGTTACCGTGGTGCTGCTCTTTTCAAAAAATAATTCAGTTATGGTCTGAGGAGATCGAAACTATGTGTTTTGTTCACAAGTGTCAACAAGTTCGTCGTACTTGTTCCTTCCATTCATTAGAGGATCCGAAAATGAAGTGGTGCAACGACTTGGTTAGATATGTCGTCACACGAAAGCGGAACAAAGTACAGACGAAACAAGGGAACTGAGTGACTTCGGTTATTTCGATCCGACAGAGAGGAGAGATTGTGGGTGTTTGGGTACAAGGCTACACTAAACGTCGGTCACTGCTCTTTCAGCTTACACATGACGTTTAACTCGCTGTTTGGGCTACTTTGAACTTGACAGGCCTCCAGCCCGATTGCGTGCTTTCCGTATCAAACCCAGTGTTAATTGACTCTGAATCGATCGATCCCAGTCCCGGACTGACAGCGAACATTGGAGGAGCGTCTACAAAAAATCAAAGCAAAAGTAGAGCTAACAACTGACACATTCAGAGTTCACGTAATATTCTTTGCTTTGTGACATTGCTTCAAACGTATTGACCGACGTCTTTGGTCATTCGGTTTATCAGTTGTTTGTACTTCCGTAATTGAATCAATGCGCTCTAAGTGGGACATGCATCACCTGACCACCCAAAGCAATGGTCACTGCACCGAAAAACAGGTGTGTATTGCTTCCGCTGGAAGGACAAAATATAATCCCGGCCTGTCCTAACAGGCCATATGACTGGCCTGAACCGTGTTCATTCATTTTTACAAATCGGAAGAGGGGTATTAAGGTATTCAAACAATTTTCTCATAACAGTACATTCTGTCTTTATAAACTCAAAATGTCACGTGAGTATGATCCATCGTTGATAGTAGAATAGCTTAATACTACGGATGGATGTTGTGCATGACTATACAACACTATTACAGGAAACCGTTTCATGCAAGCCCGTGGTCAGAGGACACCACATTTTCAACAGTGCCTACGTAGCTTTGAATTCGACTGTTGTCGTGCACCCGTGAATAAGGTTCACACTAGTGGCTCATTATGGAGACGATTTCCTCGTGATTAACGGGTACCACACCCGGACCTTAGTTAAGTAGCCTCAAATAACTGCTACCGTAAATCCAATTGTTCACAAGATTGCTGGAAATGCTTCGACAGCTCACAACCGGATTCACCCTTCCTGGAGTTGGCGCGGCCCCGAGTTTCCAACAAACTAATGTCCTGCTCGAACCCACATTTTACCAAATACACTGATTTGCATGTCAATTTAGTTTTCACGGTAGGCTCACCTGAGTTTCTCGTTTGTGATGTTATCTTTCATCTGTTTGTGCTGCACAAAGACCGCCTCATCTCTCAGTTGGTACGGCATTGGGGATATCGCAATATATTTTCAGGCGTGTCAACGATCAAAACCAAACAGATATCAGGAAGAGTATATAAATGGAATTTCTTACAATTTTGTTTCTAATAGAACACAAGGCTGACGGAGGAAACTCAGGAACTGCGTGTCACATCGTTTAATGACTCTTGGTTTGTTAGCTCCAACCCCAAGCTAAGTGATAAATATGCATTAGTTACTATACATGGTGTTGATCTTATTCGGCCGGGCAAACATATACTGAAATCACAATGAGCCATGATAAAGCACCACGGAAAGATGGCCTTTTCATAAATAAATCAATGATTAAAGAATTGAAATAACAACTACAGAGAAATGTTGCCTGTTAGTGTTGCCTGTTAATGTTGCCTGTTGTGCACATTTGGTGACCATTGACCTAATATTGACCTTTGCATGTCGGTTAATAACTTCATATAGTTTAATTCGGCTGGCTCCTGAGTGAGAATATGCTGCTCACAGCTTCCAAAATGCAGTCACTGGTATCAGGTCTCGTTCACGATGGTTTATTCAACAGCAGAGGAATGAAGACTGGTACAGATGTTACCACCGTGCGACTATAGTGCGCACCCACCGAGATTGTAAGTCCTGTCAGAGGACCGTACATACTAACTTAATGGCCTTTCATATGACTGGACGATACGAGACGGCTTGGCAGAGGGCATGAGCTGTGAAGTCCCTGTTTTGTTCAGTATCAACTCACCCAGGCTGAGCTAAATGGAGCATAGTAGTGGGAGCAGCGGTCTTAGTGGCTATGCACTTTAGTCGTCTATTTTTACCCGCTCACTTGGTGACGCTATCAACAAGTTTTCTTTTATCACTAAATGACGGACCTAATAATACTATGTATAGAAAGAGTACACGCATCTATGCACCATTTGAACAGATAACTGAGTAAGTGCAAAATCATGCCAGGTTTGTGAGTTCTCAGTTAGAACATACCATTGTTAGACCGGCATGAAACACATTTATAAAAAGACTGCAAAGTACTAACGATGAAAAAAGTTTGTATTGTTGTGACACAATGGTCGTTTAGGTGGGGCAGTGTAAGTAGTGTGATGAATTTCGCTTGAGTCAGTAGCTTCTCTGCACATGCCATTGGCATGTTGGCAGTCGGCGGTTTTAGTTGTGCAACAAGACTGCCAATGACTGACTAAGTTCAACTAAAGGAACTGGTATCAAAATATCTAATTACCTATAACATAATTACTCACCGTGATCTAATTACCTATAACATAATTACTCACCGTGAAAGACCACTATATGTTCTACTGATTCCATCTGCTGAGTTAATTCTGCAGTATGTGTTTACATTTAGAACAAAATTTCTCAAAAGATACCTGACAGCAAAGCTAGTTTCAGGAGATTTTCTTACGTCTCTATCTATAACAGGAGCAAACTCAAAGCAACCAGCCTTGAAACATCCTAGAGAAGAAAAAGCATCAATACGATTACCTTTTGTAGGTGACCTCATAGTCATTAATGTCACGTTAACAGCCGCACTAAGTCCTACGTATCTTGCCGCTCAAACATGACTCTGTTCACCGGCCAGTACACCCCAGTTACCCAGTGTTGTTGCCGTTCATTTCACCTGCCAGTGTAGTGACGGCTTGGTAGAATAGATCGCTGTTTATATGGAAGAAATGGCTGAGTACCTTCTAAAAAGTGCCTAAGATTTCGTGCAACGGCAGTCTTCAGGGAAGCAGAAAGAACAACCGAGATTCGGGTCCATAGATTGCAAGACACACTTTGAGGACGGTTCATCTGTTTGCCTCAGTCGGTCATCAAAGTCTTGTTGCACACTCAAAATCACTGAATGCTGAGATTCGGTAGAGTTTTATTGTTTAAAAAGTAGCCATTGCACAGGAGCAGTTGCCTCAAGTTTTCTGTTTACCGTACTAGTGATAACACCACCCCATTTGTGTCTGATTGTTTTTTCAACTGTTGCTGTGCCGTTTACCATTTTGGTGACTGACGAATGCGAATGAAAGTTCAACCTCGTCTCGACGTTCCTATCAAATGAATTGAGGGAGTCGATTCCTAAACCATTTACAGACCCTCTAACGTGTATGATTCTACATCGATTAACCAGTAGAGCCAATTTTGTTAACTTCCACCGTATAGGCTAATTTTTGAAGTTCGGGCTTACGCTGCTTGATACAGTAAGAAACCGCTGATCGTTTCCTACGTTGACCATCCCACGTTGATCGTTTACTCTAAGGGCAGTCTGATTTGCTTAGCTATTAAAAGTACACGTGCACGAAAACCTCTGAAAATCGGACATGCCCTCTCTGGAACTTGTCGACACTAAAAACCACGGGATTTTGAAATCCCTGAAGTCTTAGACACCCGAGCATTCATAAAGTTGTTTTTCGGTAGATAAGTGTGTATTGGCCACATTGATCAAACTCCAAACAGAAATTCACTCCTGTGGTATTCGAGTGTTTTTAAGCTGTATTACTTGGCTAGCAACTCCGCCAATCTCCATTAGTTCAACAAAACAGAGGTTGAAACTATCGGTGTCGGGTTAAGTTGGACTGAACTGGCCTCCACGGCCTTGGCTGAAAATTGCAATGACCATTTGTGCAGGGAAGGGATGTAAATTTCTGTGATATACTTTGTAACAACATAAGAACTGCTCGATGAGAGCTTGCAGAAGGCAAATGTCGAAGTAGACGTTGTGATCAGATACAACATGCTGGGGACAGATTGTAGGAAGTTGACTTAGATTTTGGCCACCCCAAGAGAGGGTGTGACCTCTAACTTCAAATCGAAACCCTTATTTGCGGAGAAAATGCAATCTGCTTGACCAAGTCAAGTTTATGCTCCGGATATATGGGTTGGATGCAGTCCAACCACATCGTTTATTAATAATGGAAGTTGAATTCATTATGCAGTGGACCGATGTAGGTTTTCGGAATCGGCACATAGGAATATGTCACTATCATTCGGCACAAGACAGTTGCCTTCGGAAATAATGTTTTCATAGATGCATGTCTGATGAGCTTTTTAGATGAATGGGGGAAGGACCAGAGGATAAACAAAACAGAAAATCTTTAAATCATCAGAACACCTAAACAGCAGCTCATAATTACCAGCACATGCGGGAACAGTTAAACATCGAGAGCCCATGTTGTTTGTGACAAAGCGCAAGGTTACACATACGGTTGTCTACTGTTAGTGTAAAGAAAGGGCGGTTAGTACAACGACCGTCACGGGAAATCACGTTGTGCACCTTTTGGGTTAGGCACTTCGAGGTGTTTTGGGTGTTAAAAGGAGGTAATCATGTTCACACTCCCATGGAAAGAACCCTAAGGAGCAATCAAATCATGCCCTTTATAGATAGACAAATAAATCTAATAAGGTTCACATTCATATGGATTCTGTGGTCAGCTGTAATTTGATTTGCCTTGCTTCGTATGGAAACAGTCGTTCAATGTCATTTCTGATCCCATTACAAGGTTGAAACAGCATCAAACCCACGAGTGTTCACGAATTTGGTTTGCTTTCTTATGCCACAAATCGTTTTAGGTTTTTTCACTTGCGTCCTAATATAAGTTTCGCTGTGACCTGCTTGGTTGTCTGATTAAAGCGAACTGGCTAGTATCCCAGTTTCCCAGGGTGATACTGGGAGTAATAAGCAAAATAACTGTCATGACAGACAAGCAGCGAATTCACAATGAACAAGGAATGTTCAGCAAAGAAACCTAGTTAGGCTGATCGTTGTAGGGGGAGTATTGCCACATGAACGCTTTGATCAAATATTATCTCTATTCGAGTAGGTCAGATGTTTAGTACAGTACCATTCAGTCTTTCTACCAGCATCATTCACGTAGAGTTATTGAGGAAGTACAGGATGTTCAGCAGAGTGCAAGCAGACACTGACCAAGATTTTCGTGCCAAAATGGGGTAAGGATACGTCAAAAATTTTCACAGAAAATGCCACACCTAGGGGTCCGGTATGAATCTAAATTTCCAGATATGTAAGAAGTGCGTGTTACTGGTAGAAAAAACCCTAAATGGCTTTTTTAAACATGGGCGATAACCGACCGGACCAATCACACTGGTTGAAGAAATCGGGATTCCATTCGATCCTAATATCACTAATAAATCTGGGTTAAGGTCGAAATGTCTAATAGTTGCCATTTTGTGCACAAGATACTGCATGCACTCGAACATTTCGGTAAACGCTTCTCTTCTGTGGTGCTTGTAGGCGCCCCAATATGAAGAGTACAAAATAGTGAAGATGAATGCCAATCAAGATTTTGCCCCCTGTACAGCCGTTTCATCCACGATGTGGATTATCGGCAGCGTGAATATCGCGAGCCTCTAGCGTGCTGAAACCCGCTACCTACGGGCTAGTAGTTGAAGAGTAAACCGTTTTGCCTCGAGCGGCCCAACAAAAGTGCGAATACAGTACGGCGGCACTCAAATTTCAATAATGAAATCCACATCACATGGTCAAGTATTGAATGGCTGCTTTAGTGACGACTTCTCAGATGTGGTGTGGATTATTCTCCTTTCTGAACTATTTGTGAATCTAAATATACTTACTGTTTGCAGCTGAATACTGTCCAAATGGTTTGGGCATCGCCTCCGTTACCGCAGTTTCCGGTTCGGGTTGCGACAATGCACGCTCGTCAACTAGAGACGTTTTGGGTTTGCCGGCCGCATCAGTATGACTCAGGTCAACATGGATAGGTTTAGGCTTTGCTTGGCTGATTGGTGTCTTTTGTGGTAGCTTCGAAGGTAACTTTACTCTGTGCTCCTCTTTCAATGAAGGACCAAAAGCTGCTACAGCGACTGGCTGTGCGACAGAACTGCCCCCATTTTCACTAGCCTCAGCATCCCACTTCTTAGCACGAGCATGTCGTTTGGCGAACATCTGGGCCCCTCGGCTGTCGGACGTGTATAGGGCAGTGGCAATGTCAAAACATTTTTGCGGATCCAAGTCTGCGTGGCGATTTTTGGGAAATACTTTGATTTTCTCCAGAAATTCTTGCACTGTCTTGGGTTGACCCGGCAACATTGGTGGAGGTGGTGGAATCGGAACCGTAGGTTTGTTTACTGGCTGAAGACCAGGAAAACTTGGTGGGGGTGGAGGGGGAGGTGGT